CCCTCGCAGCCTCAGACCTCGGTGAGAGAATCTGGGTCTGCCAGTTCTGACTCCTCCTATCTCTGCACAGTTGGCTTACTGAAGTGTGGTTAGAGAGCTTCTTGGTACTGCATAGTAATGACGTTTAGGGGAGCTAAAAATAGCCCCGTAAAATTGCTATAGGAAAACGTAATCATCGGTTTCACGACAACAGGCAGATCCCCCTTGTGGTCCAGGGAGGGTCCAGGGGCCCGGCTGCTCGGGGGGGGGGGGGGGGGGGGGGGCGCGGGGGGGTTCTCTGTGGGGGTCTTGCCTCGGGCCTCAAGGGTTGTGGGCCTCAGCATTTGGCCATGCTCCTCTTTTAGGGCCCCTCTGTGTGCGGGTGCTGGGGTGCGCCGGGACGCATCTGCCGTCCGATCTCTGGGCTCATGGTGAGTCTGTGGGCGGACGGCAGCTCAGGGGTACAGGCCGGTCCTGGATTCACCCCAGCCTGTCGCTGCAGCCTTGGTAGGGCCTGCTTCCTCGTGGGCACGCCCCAGTTCTGTAGGCTCCTAGCGTGGATCCCCCAGCAGCCCGCCGAGCGCCCCCCCCAGTCCGACGCCAGCCCACCGCCGCCCTGCTCCGTGGGGGTCTGCTCCACGCCTCCCTCTACTTGCCGTTCCGCCCTGGCCTGTTGGGGGCAGGCACTGCTCTTGCGGCCCTGCCGCACCCGGAGCGTCCAGCATGGTCTGGGCACGGCCGCTGCCCCAGTCTACAGATGAGGAGACCAGTCCTACCCAGGGGCCCCGTGGTCCAGGCGGAGCTGTGCCTGGGACCCGGGGCCAGCGCCCCACCCTGCCGGCTCAGTGGGGGTGGAACTGGGGCGGAGTGTGCCTGAGCTAGGGTGAGCCCCCAGAACCGGCCTAGGCTCACACGGGGTCAGCATCACAAGTGAAGGCCAGCCCCAGCCCTGGCGTGCCGGGAGAGGGCCAGCCGGCCACGTTCCGGCGATGCCCCTGTGGCAGAAACTGTTGAATCCTGTGACCAAGAGCCCCTTGGGTGCAAAGCCTTTGGGGCTGCTCCATGAAGCCCCCGTCATTCTCAGGGCAGTGGCTGGGCGGAGGCGGCTGCCTTCTGGGTCCCGGTGCACGAGGCCTTTTGCCCGCCTGAGCCAGGAGAGGGCCCATGGAGTGGCTGTCCCTCCATGCGCACAGGGCCCAGGCCTTTGGCCTGCTGGCTCACGCTGTGCTGCGCCGGGGGCAAATGGCTTCCCAGCTCCCCCACTTTTCCAGATGCGGGAGCTCTTGCCCTGGGGCCAGGATGCCACTGGGCTGAATCCAGGGCAGGAGACAGCCCAGTCACTGATATTTCAAGGGTTCAAATAGTCTAGGTTTTTTGTTTGTTTAAAAAAAAAAATAGATAAAGCAGATTTACAGAAAATGTGCTGCATTGGATGATTTGTGGTTGACTGATGCATACTTTGGGTGAAAGATGTGATTGGAGGTGTCTGGAGAAGTGGCCTGGGGCTACCCGGAGGCCCTTCCAGAACCTGCAAAGGGGCTGGGGCAGGGCCTAGAGGGAGGCCTTTGTGGAGCCCAGTGCCTGGCCTGGCCTGGTCTGCCACTGGAGGTTCACCGTGCTTGCTGTGCGGCGTGTCTGGCCTGCCGTCTGTCCCTTCTGTTCTGTCTGTCATGATTACAAGTGCTCGTTAGAAAGATCGCTCTGGCCCAGCCAGTTGTCCCAAGGGCCGGGCTGTTCCCACGGTTCCTGGTTAGTATCTGCTGGCGCTTCTGATCACATACACCACCGGCCAGGCCTGTTCTCGCTCCAGGGCTCACACGTGGGACTTCAGAGCCTGTCCCCCAGGCTAGAAACCATTTCTGTGATTTTACCTAATCGGAAGGGCCTCAGAACCAGTGGCTCTCTCTGAGAGAGTGGGGCTCGCCCCGCAGTGACTCAGGAGGTCTGTGATGTGTAGTCCTGGAGCGCAGATGCTCCCTCGCTGCAGAGGGTGGGGGCCCTTGGGCATCTGGGGAGAGAGGACAGGCAGCCTTCTGTGGCGGTACGCGGGTCTAGGTGGCCCTGGCAGGGTGCTTGGTGTGTATGCCCCAGGGCACGGAGAAGCTGCTGTTAGGGCTGGGGTGGCCTGGGGCCTGGGAGTCCATACAGTGTGGCAGCAGCACTGGGATGCCTCTCCTGCTCTGGGACTCCACCCCGCCTCCCACCCAGGACTCCAACCCCGCCTCCCACCCAGGATGCTGAGGGCAGGGCTGGTGCACGCCGGGAGTTGGGGGGTCGGGGGTGCGCATGTGTGTGTCCGTGCGCGGCAGGGTGCCTCAGCCTCCCACCTCGTGACCACGCCCATGTGGCAGGGCCAGTGTCCCCTAGGGGCCCGGACACGGGGTCCGACGTTCTGGGTATCCATGAGCATGTTTCTGGAGGACGTTAGCATGTAAGTCTATGAAGTGATATGTGAAGTGAGGGAGGCTGGTGGGGGGCCTTCTCTGTCCCCTGGAGGCCTGAGTAGAAGGAAAAGCCAGACCTTCCCCCAGGGCAGAGAGCACGCCTCCTGCCTGGCCCCTGGAGCAGGTACCAGGTTTGTCCAGCCCCCAGAAGAACCGTACCCACAGCGGGTCGGGGGCCTCCGGGCTCCACGCTTGGCAGCCGCTTCCTCGAAGGGAGACTCTCTGTGTGTGGGCGTCCTGCTGCTCTCTCTGTGCAAACCCCTGGCTGGCCTGCCCTTGACAGTGTGTCGCTCTGGTTCGTCTCTGCAGACTGCTGCCCACTGTCTGCCCGGGCCACCCTGTGTGCCGTGGGGGGGGCTGGGCTGGGCCCTGCAGTTGGGTGGCAGCTTCCCGGCAGAGAGCTCGGACCGTGGGGGCCTGTGTGGGAGGGAGCAGCCTGTGAGCAGCCAGCCCTGCCCTGTAGGCAGAGCAGGGAACCTGAAAGCCGTGACTGTGTGTGAGGGGCGGGTCCCTCGTGTGTCCTGTGGAGTGCCCGCATGGGCAGAGTGAGCTGCGGTCCTCGGGACTTGCTCGTCCCTGGAGGGACTGCCTCGTCTCTCTGCCCCGGGGAGGCCTGTGGCCATGCGCTGACCAGTGGAGCCCGGGAGGCAGGTGCAAGAGAGGGAGGGAGTGGGAGCTCCTCGCTGTCTCAGGGCATTTGCATTTGCTGCTCCTCTGGAGGTTCTAGCCCTGCCCAGGAGTCCTCCCTGAGACGGTCGGCGTCTCAGCTGGGGCTGCCCCGCTGTCTAGCTGAGTTTATGCGGGGGGTGGGGGGTGCACCCCAGAGTGTGGAATCGACCTGATGCCCATAGGCAGGGCCGAAGCCGGGAGGCCTAGTGAGCCAGGGTTCCATTGTCAGGGTTGGGGAGCGGCCGCTTTGGGCTGAGACGAGCTGGGGCTCTGAGGAGTTCAGTGGGGGCGTGAAGGCATCTGACTGGGACTACAGGAGAGGCTGCAGAAATGCCACAGCCTGTGGATGTCCCTGGGGTTTGCTGTCCCAGACGGCGGGCGTGGGGAAGGGTGTCTCCCAGGTCTGAGGAGTTAGGAGCCACTTGCTGCCCTGGCACAAGCCTGTGGAGCTTAGGGCAGAGCCACATGGCACGGGCCACGCTGGTCACCAGACTTAAGGAGGTCTCCCAGCCTTGCGGATGCCCCAGGACAGGCGCCACTGCCAGCCCCGCTCCCTTCCCCCTGCTCCTCAGTGAGCCATGGGAGGGCGTGGGGATGCAGGGTGAACCCCGTCCCTCCTGACTGTCCCCTCAGAGGGGAGAGGCTCTGACGGGGCTGGCCTGTATCTGTGTGGCTGGGGCTGTGGGCCCCTCAGGAGAGTCTGGGGGTGTGGAACGTCCCACGCTATCCGCTGCTGCCTCTGTCCCCAGTGCAGCCTGCAGCCGCGCCTGCCTGCTCCCAGCCCAGGCTGTGGGGTCACACACAGCAGGACAGTCCCGGGGGCTGCCGTGCATGGAAGGGCAGCTCCAGTCCGGCCAGCTGGGCTGGTTCCCCTCACTAGTTCTGGGGATTGTGGGCCCCTCTCACCAGCCAGGAGGCGGGGTGTGGTTCGAAGTTGGAGGACCTCCCCTGCCATGCACAGCATGTCCCTGTCTAGACTGGGGCTTTGGTTCTCCCTGCCACCCACCCCGGTGGCCTGAGGCCTGACTGGGGCCACATGCCCACCTGAGCACAGAGGCCAGCCTTGAAGAGGCTGCTACAGTCGGCCCGCAGGTTCTCAGGAAGCACTGCCTGTGGGGCTGTGAGGATGTCACCTGGGATATGGGGGACACGGCAGCCAGGGGCATAACCTTCATTCAGGCCTTCCTCCCCGCCTCGGGTGAATGCTTTCAGAATCTTCTGAGTCCCTTCCAGTGAGTTCTTGCCTCTTCTTCGGCAGCCAGGTGGAGATGACAGCTCTTACCGACCCCATGGACCCAGCTGGGAGGCTGGCGGGTGACACTGCGCCTGCTCAGCACCGCGAAGGCAGGCTGTCCTGGGCCTTGGGCTCGCTGGCAGGACCAGCTCTGTGCTTGGGGCGGTGGGGACCCCACTGCTGCGATTGGCATCGGCACAGCAGCCCCCTGCTCCATAAATCCCCGCTGGTGTCACTCCCTGTTCTAGGGCAGGGCTCCAGGGTCCCTGAGCTCTGTGTATCTGGCCGAGTCAGGGGCTGGTTCCCCAGCACAGGCTTTCACAGTATCAGCATGCCCAGCTGCACGCAGTTGGGCAGGTAGACCCCTGGGGGGCTCTGGACCTGTGGCAACAGCCACCGGCTCAGGAGTGTAAGCAGCGCCCCTGGGAGGGCCAGTGCGGCACTGGCTCCATTTGAGCCACAGATTGGGGGCCCTTTGGAAGCTTAAGGCCTGGTCTAGCTTTGTTTCTCCATCATTCTCTGAGCCCCCTTGTCCTGACAGCCCACTAGCGGGGTGAGCACCTCAGGTAGGCGCTGTCACATGCCTAGGGACCCGCCTTGGAGCACAGCAGAGTCTTGCATGGTGTCACCAAGGTCACTGCCAGTTAACCAGCTTTGTCCTCTTGCCCTCACAGAAGGACATGGCCCTGAAGCCACATGAGCGGAAGGAGAAATGGGAACGTCGCCTTGCCAAGAAGCCCCGTGAGTCCGAAAACTGCCCGTCGGCAGAACCAAGTGAGAATGGGCATCCCCTGGAGATTGGCAGCCCCGAGCAGGACCTGGAGTCTGCCTGTGACCGTGGGAAAAAGAAGGTCCCACTGCAGCCCACCAAGCAGGTGAGCGCTGGGCCCTGCCCCACTCAGAACCATGGGCTCTGTGCCCTCTCCCCTGGGTGCCCTCAGGGCCACACCAACACCTGGACACCACCGTCGGCATCTGGGCCTGCCTGGCAACGTGCTCCTTCGTTGTTGGGCATGGGGTATGCGGCCCACGTGGACTGGGGCCCGAGGTAGCTGCTCGCCGTGAGCCCAGATCCTGAGCAGACAGAAGACCTTCCCCCGGTGGGTGACACAGCCAGAGAGGCCAGGCTGGGAGCCCAAGGATGGGGGTGGGGGTGTGTGTGCTTGGGGCAGGAGGGTGCACCTGCTGGTAGGCTGGCCCCGTTGCCCTGTTGCGTCTGTCAGGCTCCGCCGACCACGGGGTGTCCAGGGTGTCTGTAGCGCGTGGGGGCCGGGCTCTGCACCAGGTGTTTTCCATCTGCTAACCTTCTGTAGAATGCAGCACATCTTTTCGTGGGGGTCACGTGACTGGTGGTCAGGGGTCCCGGTACAAAGAGCAGCCCACCCCAGGGGCCTCCCTCCACAGCGGCCGGGAGCCGAGTCCTTGGTGGCGGGTGGCGGTGGGGGGGGCATCCTTGCTGTCACCAGAGCCCAGCTGGGATCGGGTGGGGAGACTGGGACCGGGGGACTCTCTCCCTGAGCGTGGGGCTCTCTCCCAGGTGCCGGCTCAGCCCTACAGCCGCTTTCCTCCTCAGGGACTCGCTGGTTCGCGCCTTCTTTTCAGAGAGGGGTTCTTCTTGGTGTTTCACACTCCACTTTCAGCTCCCTTGGGGATGGGGCTGCTGGAGAGGGGGCAGCATGTCTCAGGGGCCCGGGCTGGTTGGGGGGTCTGCAGGCACACCTGCCCAGGTGGACACGTGCTCTTTCTTCCATGCAGGTGTGCTCCCCAGAAGGGGGGCCGCTCCCAGCCAACCACTGGGACCAGAACGGCCCGGCCCAGCACCAGCAGCAGCTCCAGCCCAGCCAGCCCCAGGGGTCACTCCCAGCCCCGTGTCAGCGCTGCCAGCCCCGTCGGGCTCTCCCGGACCCCGGGCAGCCCTGCCAGCCCCAGCGGCCACTGCCGGGTCAGCGCCGCTGGCCCCAGCGGTCACTTCTGGGCCCAAGACAGCCCTGCCAGCCCCGGCGGTCACTTCTGGGCCCAGGTCAGCCCTGCCGGCCCCAGCGGCTGCTTCCAGCCCCAGATCAGCACTGCCGGCCCCAGCAGTCACTCCTGGCTCAGCCTTGCCGGCCACGATGGGCGCTCCTAGGCCCTAGGCACCGCTGCCGGCGTCTGCGCTCCCTGCTGGCCCCGTGGCAACGCTGCCGGCCCCTGCGCTCCCTGCTGGCGCCGTGGCACCGCTGCCGGCCCCTGCGCTCCCTCCTGGCCCCATGTCCCCTCTGCCGGCCCCTGCGCTCCCTCCTGGCCCTCTGGCACCGCTGCTGGCCCGTGCGGTCGTGGGTGGCCCCCTGTCTCCGTGGCCAGCCCAGCAGGGCATCCTCAGGACAGCGGTGCCGGCCCCCACAGTCACTCCTCCTGCTGCGTCCACGCCGCCGGCCCACCAGCTCACTCTCAGGCCAGTGCTGCTGCCCCCGGCGGGCTCTCTTAGCCCCTTGCCAGCCCCGGAGGTCCCTCCTAGGCCAACCCAGCCGCCCCCAGGGGTCCCTGCTGGGCCTCAGTCAGCCCCAGCAATTAGTTGAAGCCCCAGAGCACCCTGGCCCCGCAAAACCTTCACTGCTGGGCCCTGGACAGCCGTGCCAACAAAAGCGGCCACTCATGGGCCCAGAACAGCCTCACCCGCCCAAGCGGCCTCTCCTGGGCCCAGAACAGCCCTGCCGACGAAAGCGGCCCCTCCTGGGCCCAAAGCAGCCCTGCCAGCCCTTGCAGTCCCTTCTGGGCCCCAGCCAGCCCTGCAAACCCCAGCCGTTACTTCCCATCCCTGAGCGCCCTTCACTCCTGGGCCGGCCAGCCCCGCCCCGTCGGCCCCTCCTAGGGCCCCCAAGCCAGCCGCGGCGGTCGCTGCTGGACCTGGTTCGGGCCCGTCAGCCGCAGCTCTCACTCCTGGCACTGGGCCGTCCCTGCAGGCCCCTGAGGTCACGACGGACTCGATCCTCCACCCCTGCGGTGGCTCGCCAGGCCCCGTCTGTGAGTCCTGGAGCCTGATGCCCATTTCCTAGGCCACCCTGGGTGTGGCTGTGCTGGGCGGATGTGCTGCCGCACTGGCCAGAGGCCTTCTCCAGGCAGGCTGGGCTGTTTGCGGTTGGAAACTGTGGCTCAGCAGAGGCAGCCCCCGGCAGGGCTGCTACCAGGCAGAAGCCCGCCTGCACCAGGAAGAGAGGAGAGGACCCCCAGCATCTTCCCACCTCCCTGCCATGCCTGCCCCCGTCGTGCCCGCTACTTTGGGACGCGCACACTCCTAGGAGAGTGGACACGGCTGCCCCCAAGGGCTTGGGGTTATCGGAGGGGTTCCTCAGTGTCTCGCTGTGCCTCACGAGTGCCCGTGTGTCCTTGTACGTCAGAGTCTGTGCACGCCTCCCCCCCCGCCCCGTGTGATAGACTACAAGTGTGTGTGTGAGTGTGTGCGTGCACGTATGTGGTGTGTGTGTGTACATGCTGTGGGGGTGTGCCGGCTGCAGGCCTTGCGCCCTGGGGCCCTGACCCATGTGGCCAGCGTGCATTCCGTGCCCCTAGGCAGAATGTGGGCCCCACTGGAGCCAGGCCGCAGGTCCCGCGCACCTCCCCTCTGGCAAAGGGCAGTGATGCATGTCCATCTCCAGTGTTCTGTGAATGCAGGGAGGGGACATGGGGGGCACTCAGGGCTGTCTGTGGCCACGTAGGAGCTGCTGGTGACAGGAGGGTGTCCCCCCCCCCCACTCCCCCAACTCTGCCTCCACCCCAGTGGCTAGGCACTGAAGCAGAGACAGAGTCTCCCATTCCCCTAGCTCTGGACCAGGAGGGTCGGGGCCGTTCTCAGAATGCCTCCTCCTGGCCTCCCACCCAGCCCATGCAGCTTCCTAGCTGTTGGCCCCCCAGGACGTTCCCCGTCGGGACGGACCTCACACTACAGGGCTTTCTCTGCCCTCTGCCCATCCCATGCCTGAGCTCGGGGGTCACCCATTCCTCACCCCAGACCTCTGGTTCAGGGCAGTCCCACACTGGTGCTCCTGGAGTCCTGGGCATGAGGCAAGGAGCTCACTTCTGACCCTCCAGAGCAGGAGGGTCTCTGGGGAGGGAGCAGCAGCTCCTGGGGTTTGCCCTGGCCGGGCTCCCGGACGCCCTTTGTGTGCCTAGTCTCACTGAGCCGCGACGGCCACTGCAGTTCTGATCCCGTTCATGGAGGCTGGGACGCACACCCCCCCCCATCCCAATTGCTCATGAGGACACTGGCCCTCTGGGGTCCCCACTGGCTGGGTGTGGGGGCCGCCCAGCACCCAGAGCAGGGCTTACGGGCATCTGGTCCTCACCCAGGGTCTCCCAGAAACGCGGGGCTTATTTTTCTGATTAAAGAAAATAAAAAGTGCCGTGCCATTATTTTTATGACCGCATCAGTGAGTGTGTGTCATACGTGAAGTGATTTATTCCGACAAGTGGTTTTCTGCGCGTCTGGACCTGCCCCCTGATCGCTGCGTTCCCACTGAGCAGCAGGAGAGCAGCCTAGGGCTGGGGCTGCCCAGGGAGGGGTGCACAGCCTGGGCACAGCTCATCGTGCTTGTGCTGTGCGTTCGGGGGGGCCGTGCTCACCACAGTCCCCCAGCAGACCGTCTCAGCAAGCCCCCACATCCCTGCCGTGTCCCTCGGAGCCCCTGCTCAGGAAGGGGTCTCTTTCTAGGTGTCGCAGAAGGTGCTTCAGAATTGTCCTGGATTCCTGATACTCCCAGCGTCCCCTCCCTCCTGTTGACCTGAAGGGGGCAGTGTTGGGATCTCTGTCTTCTGGGTCCTGTGCAGGCTCGTGCGTGGGTGGGCAAGGCAGGTGCCAACGGGCACAGCTGCTGCCTTTCTAGGCCCTTCTGCTCTGGGAATATGGCCCTGGCACGTGAGTGCCTAAGTGGGGGAAGCAGAACTAACAGAACGCTGATCTGCGGGAGGGTGGGAGACGGAGTCCCGTGGGCTGGGCCCAACCCTTCCGATCTGGAACAGCTCCACTGTGAGTGAGCCCCACGGTGCCCTTGGGCCCCGCTCTTCCTTGCCTGCTTACTTGCTGAACCATCTGATCCCAGAGGGGCCCCTGGGGCTCCTGCTAGCCTTGGGTTCAGAGTGACAGGACACTGAAGGGGAGGGCACTTTGGGGAGACACCCACTTGCTGTGGAGAGACTAGACCAGGTGTGCCACGTCCTGGGGGACGGGGACGGGAGGGGGCTGCTGCCACCTTCTGCTATAAGGAGATGAGGGTTTTGTGTGGCCAGATCTTGGGGGTTTCTGAGAGCATCTGGTGATACGGGTTTTTCTGTGTTTTTGGAGATTTTTGAAATGATGGTGGCTCCTTCCAATGTCACGAGCCACCCTACCGGCTAAAGGACACGGCTGTGTGGGGCCTGTGTGGCCTTGGGCCCTGGCAGCTCACGTGGCCCCAAGGCCAGGGGTGTGGGGTATGGTCCACCCTGTTGCGGGTAGACTGGGGGAAGCTTGGCCTGAAAGTTGGGCGTAGGTTGAGTCCTTGGGGGCGCTGTGGGTCCGAGGGAGGCCCAGGATTGCTCTAGGCGACTCCCTGAATGGAGACAGGAGCCTGGGTGCGGTGCTCTACAGGGGTCTCCCTCCAAGCCATACAGCCTGCCCCACGAAACCCCCCTGCCTCCACCTCCCCATCTGCGGGTGGGGCCCTGAGGAGGAGACCATGCCTGGTCCCTGCCAGGCCAGTGAGGAGCAAGGACAGTGCCGGTGGGTGTGGTTGTTCGCTGGGAGAAAGGAGACTCCTCCAGGTGCACCTGGCGGAAGGTAGGATAGCCCTGGGAGGACAGGGGCCCAGGCACGGGGACCCACCTGGTGGGCCTCACCCAGCGCTCTGCAGACACAGCCAGTCCA